ATGTATGTAATTGCAGCTAACGTTATATACTTAATTGCCCAGTTCTGATCTAGTAGAATATAACTATGAAAAAATGTTTAATCCACAAAATTATTTTCTCTCCAATTTCAACCAAATATATTTTCATACTTTCAATGTATTTCTTTAGCTATTCTTATTTTTAAAGTTAAATGCACTCAAGCTATAATACAGTTATGGTAGCCTACTGGCACCTCATACCTTTTCAGAATGGCAAAATCTAACCTTCCAGAAATTCTGCATTTTGAGGTAGTACTTATTAGGTCATCCTCAAAACACAGATGACCTTTATAATTTGGATGGACATAACAATGGAAATGTCAGTGTGAAATGAGGGGAGGGCCCTCCAAGGGCTGTACACCTCTGGACAGTCCTATACTTCCCCCTTGCTGCTTCTCTCCTCACTACATTCCTTCAAGCACTGAGACTTCCATCTTCCTGTATCCCAGCTACATAGCATGATCATAATTCTGACCATCTCCAAATGCCCTCTCCCAGGAGGTACATATATATCCAAACTGCCTAGAGCCTCCTCTCATTTTTCCACACTAATACCACAATTTTTCCTTGCCACTCTACCTCTGTAGAAAACCCAAAGAAGGGAGACAGCAGCATGGCACTGAGGTATCTCTGCACAGCCAGGGAGCAATAGGGAAATGAAATGGCTCAGAAACCTCTACAAATGAAAATGGCTCATCAAAATACTTTTGTGTACTGGAGCAACATCGCTTTCTTTGAAACTGCTGCAGGTCATAGTACTTCGTTTCCAGTGGAACTAACAGTAAAGCAAAATCTCTTTTGGTTCATGAATAATGTCTTGAAAGGAGATAGAAATTTGTAGCACAAGTTGGGAAATAAGGAAAAGCTTCCAAACAAAGAGTAAAACAAGAACATCATCCTGACTTCCCCATCACACTTCTACAGGATAATTCCCATTTCCCAAACTTCTGCTCTTCTCCTACCATGGACCCCTCCTCTGCAGCATCCATCCCCAGCAGGTTCAAACCCCCTGATCTCTGCAGCTAGGGAGACTTTGTAAACACACACGTGCATGTATGTACAAGTACAACCCAACAGGTACTCAACAGTTTACAAAAGTAGCTCCTAGATAAGTAGCAAAATAAAGCATGGAATCTACAAGGAGAAAGCTTAAGTCAATTGACTACAGTTGTGGTACTACAGAAGCAGTGCCTGACGTGTGAGTCACTTTTGTAAACAGGAGAACACCTTAATGTTCCTTATTTGGCTTTTAGCTATCTCAAAGAGTGCTGATAAATTCACAGAATCATAGAATGGTTTGGGTTGGAAAGGACATTACAGATTATCTAGTTCCAATCCCCCTGCCATGTGCAGGGATACTTTCCACTAGACCAGGCTGCTCAAAGCCCCATCCAGCCTGGCCTTGAACACTGCCACAGAGGGGGAAATGGCTGAAATTTGATTCAGTATAGTAGGAAAATTTTGTAAGGCATCTCTCAAATCTACTGAACACTGCTGGTAACTAAATGAAGGCCCAGAAGGATATTTTTAGGAATGAGGTTACATCTGTTTTCACGCGATTCTATAACCAAGGAACATTTTGGAGATTCAAGGGGAAAAAAAAAGTCAGCAGTTATGCAATTTGAGCCCAGATATAATAAAAGCAGTATCATTCAGCCGTATTAGCCTACCCCAAGTCCAGCAACTAGTGTTTGATAAACCATGGATTTGAAGAGACAGATATGGAAAATTCAACCCTTTCCATGATAGAAGTTTTCCAATGATCAATTTTTCTACAGCCTACTTGGACTTTTCTGTGAGAGAACTGCTTGCAAAAATCTTTTCCCAAAAGTCTGAGGAGAAATACAAATGAAGAATTCGATAGAGTTAATGCGGTAGGATGTAAAAACATAAATTAGCATTCCCCACCACATCTATGAACATACAAACTGTCATATACAATTACAGGGAGTGAAGTGAGCTGGTCCCAAGTGCCTTCCAAATGCTCCTATCATACTGAATCTATTTACCCTGTTATAATGAACCCTGATGGATGTCTAGAATCTCCTTGATCTGTCCTAGCTGTCAGAATCTTTTATAAAATCCTGTCGGATTTATGAATATAAATAAAATACATATGCAATACGAGCAGTTATAACTGATGCTCTTCATCTTTACAGAGACATTTGAGAAACACCAATGATGAACAATGACTTTATGAATTCCTTGTTTTAATAATTATTAATCTTTTTTTGAATGGCATTAATGAAAAGTGGAGATAACTATATACACTTACATACATACAGATACATAAAAAAATTTCCCAACTGAAATGAATCAAGTGAGGGGAAAAGACCACCATCCGCAGCTATCATTTCAGAAATATGAAGATGATCAAAGAACATAAGCACTTCTATCAAGCACACTCAATCACATGGATGATATTTTCTATTTGGAACATCAAATCTCCAACAGACTGCTTTCCTACAATAACAGCCATCGGTAACCTTTAAGGAAACGTTCTCTTTACTAATCTCTAAGATATGAACAGTGAGTATATGCTCCAACTTATGTCCCACACCAGACCTGAAAGAAGCTGACAGCTGGAGTTCCACTGAACCTCTTTCTTACAAGGAGTAAGAAATAGGCAAGCAGAGATGTCAAAGTCAGACACTAGTACTAGAGCTCTCTGAGGTAGTTGGCCATGTGCCAATTCACACTTTGCCTCCAAACTACAATGGATCTCGATCGCCTAGTTGCATTTTTCCTTCATGGCATATTTCAAAAGGGTAGAGTAAGCCCTAACATGTTTCCAACATCTTCACTCCAAATGGAGATTTTAAGCCCTATTTCAGAAAGACAAGATGGTAGTGCAGAGCAAACATCTTTAAAAAAAAATAAGTCCTTCGTTTGATTAATGTGTCAGATGTCTGTCCACAATCTAGGAGAAATTCAAGTAACATCTCCCACACACATCCTCTCAAATAGGCCCTGCGTTCTCAATACAGCTCAACCGCACACAGTCTTGTTCTGAATGCTTCAGTAATCATGAAGGAGTAAGTATAGCTCTAGGTTTGAAGTCTACAAGTGACAGTCGCTGAGAAATTTGTAAGAGGCAGCGTATGTTGCTCTGGGCAAATCTCTGTGCAATGACTCAAAACCCCATCAGTCAAGCACCTCAATACATGTTTCAAGACAATAAGTTATCTACTTGGACAAGTGGTAACAAAGAAATCTGTTATTTCCAATGCAGAAAGAGCAGGAACCATCCAAAATGCTTACTTCTCCTATTCTGAAAGGAGAGTTCTAACTTTCAGAGTATGAAGGGATTCTTTTCTTTTTAAAGCCTGAATCCCAGAGAGTACTGAAAAACTGCTGCTTTTGCATGAAGTCTGGATAATATTTTGGTAAGGAAAAAAAAAGTGCTTGTATCCTGGGATATAGTCTACCAGAGAAACATTTGTTCTGCTACTAGGACCCTGGCAGAAGAAACAGTGACCAAGAATGGCTTCTTTGAACAAAAATGTGACCAGATGCTCCAAAGGACAACTCATGGGCAAATAAAAGCACAAGTTTTATTTTTTACTAAGCTGAGGGAGCCCTATGAAAGGAGCAAGGTGTAACAATTTGACCCACCTGTTGCAACACTGAAGAGCTCCGCAGAGGGTAGAGCAAATGTGTATCAACAGAAATATTTGACAATTCTGACACAAAGCCAAAGCAAATATTCCAGAAGCAATGCTGACCTTACTGTTCTTTGTAAAAGGAAGTCTCAGAGTGAGGACTCCTAGAAAATGAATCCTGCAACAGAGCAATCTACAAATTCAACGTGAACAGGACGCACACCCTCACAAGACAATACAGGCATTGACAACAGGGGCTGGCTGCAGGGATTTGACCATGAACCAGACAAACAAATCAGTTGGCCTTATTACTGACAGAGTTCCTGGGTCAGTGGAGATATATGATGTTGATGCAGGTGGAGGGAGAAGAGAATGCGAAAGCTAATGTTTCAAAGACTTGGGAAGGACAGGATAAAAGAAACGTGACACAAGAGAAGAAAAAGAATGAAGAAAAGTGTGCTGCAATCAGCTACCTAACAGTTTCACATGAAGGCAGAAATCCTGCTCAATGTCCAGTCCTGATAAACACCTACACTTACCCCTTGCCAGTACTGACAAAGGAAAGGTTTAAGCAGACAAGTCACTGCAAGGATGACTTAGTAATGGGCCATCTAATTTAGCAAAATTGGAGAAAGCTGTTTATCATCACAGTCCACAATAACACATCAAAAATATCACATTATATATATAAACAAGAAAATATGGGTTTACAGATTCAGGGAAAGTATATAATATTGGACTACTGAATGTTTAAAGCCTCAAATAGACAAAGACATTTGAAACATGCTGTAGAAATACAAGAGGACAAATATGTGCATTGTGATGATGTAGTATTATTTGGCTTCTGCAGAGCACACAAGGATGGTTAATCAGCATCAGCTGCAGTCTAATCTGGACCAGAAGAAATTGCTGGATAAGCAAAAATAACAGCTCAGTATGAAGCAGACGAATGAAGACCTCCTTGGGTCATCTGAATCAACACAACAGAGGAGGAGTTAGTCTTTTATCCTCCTACCACTAAAAAAATAAAACCACCATACTAAATGGTGAAGACACTTGCAAAATACAAAAGTAACAACATGGTATTTCTACTAAATTCTGGATTTACCAGCTTAATTTTCACGTTAACATTTACTGAAGAAATTAAAATTCTGAACGTGATCAGAGCAAGAAACATATCACGTCACAACACAAACACTTGCACGTATTCCTGTCTGGTCACTTGCAACTATGCTAACAGGTATGTGTCAACATCTATTGTGTTATTTGTTTCCCCTCTCCTCAAAAGAGAGATTAGGTGGAGCGGGAGGACATTGTAGATTATGTTTCTCTGAGTTTGAAATTGTAGAAGTGAATTTGAACGTATAATGCAACCCTTACCTTCTGGACGGTACTGAGCTACAATAGTTACTGCTTGGCCTGCATTCTTCAGGGCTGCTGCTGCCTGTTCATGGGTTGCTGCTTTTAGATCTACTCCATTTACCTACAAGTAATACAAAAAGGCTTTTTATCAAAATAAATGGTTATGTTTTTCATCACAGAACACAGACTGCTGGGAAAAAAAAAGTTAAGTAGGCACAAACTAGTTTCCATGCCATGTGAGTTTTCCCTGTTTCCAATATTAAAAACTAGTTAATACCAAGATTATTGATCCTTACTAAAATCCAAAGTCAATAAATCCTCTCTCACATACACCCCTCCATTAAGAAATACTGTGATCATTATAGTATATCACTTAATTAATCCGTATTCCCTGGGTCAATTCTCTTCTTATTTAAGGCCTTTTTCTTTCTCTTTAAGGAGACATATAATGTTACTTTCTCTGATGGTTCATCTCACCTTTCTACAAAAGGGCTTTGGGGACCTCCTCAGTCAAAGCGTGACTACAGACCATTATGTTTAATATCCACTGACAGACCACACCCTACAAGGGTCTAGCCTTGTTTTCAATGCAGCAGATATTTTTAAAATAGTATCAGAAAAAAACTGAAGCAGAAATGTGTGTGTCACATTTTAGACCAAAAGCATTCTTCATAGTTCAAACTAAAATAAAGATGCACTTTAGTATCAGCATTTTAACAACAGCAGAGCCAAAATTTAAGAGGAAAAAATTCCTCTTAAATAACTACCAAATTATAATGTAATTGTCCAAAGAAATGATTCTCCATAAATTAAGTTATTTTACAAAGAAACACACGAAATCTCTATGACCTTCAGTACTAATATAGAAAAAGCCCTTAGACAGGTATGAGATTAGATTAAGACTAATGGAAATTTTAGCAGTTACTCCAGGAAGTAAAGCACCCAATTTTAGACACTACTAACAAATGTCTCTATCTCATTAGAAGGCTAATTTCTGAAGCCTGCATTCTTTCAACTTAGACACACACCCCCCTCAGCTACCAGACTAAGATAAGTTAAAAGTCTTCACTGAATATCATCACTGAATATCTCTGAGATAGGAAAGTGCTATCTTAATCAGGTTACAGCTGAGAAACTGAGGCAGACTAAAGTCCTCAAAGATACTTTGGAAGTGTATTGGCATCTGTTCCATTGTCCCAGATTTAGCTCAGTTAATGATACTCTTTGCATATAAATCATTAATCATAGAATGCTTTGGGTTGGAAGGGACCTTTAAAGGTCCTCTAGTCCAACCCCCTGCGGTTAGCAGGGACATCTTTAGCTATACCAGGCTGCTTAGAGTCCTGTCCAACTTGACCTTGAATGTTTCCAGGGATGGGGCTTCTACCACTTCTCTGGGCAACCTGATCCAGTGTGTCACCATCCTCAATGTAAAGCATTTCTTCCTTCATTAACTGGCATTAATATCCAGGGAGGGGGAAACTTTTGTTATTCTTTAAATAAAAGAAGCAAGGAATCCTACAGAAATTATACGATCTCCTTTCCTGAGCTCTCCACTCAGGTCAGCCGGCCCTCCTGCAAGGATGAAAGAGATGAAAATTCCTTCTCCATCTTCTCCTCCAACAATGTTGAAACCAAGACCTGTTGATCCTCGATGCAGGATGACCTTTCTAGGCTCCCTGAATGAAAGAAAGGAATACAAAATCTTGGTCACTATACATGAGTAACAGTAAAATAAACAATTAGAAAAGTCTTCTGAGAGAAGTAGTGTTGGAAATTTAGATAACAGAAGTTACACATTTCTTAAGGCAACAATGCCAGGTGTTCCACCCTGCCTTCCCCGGTTGTGTCGTGTGGCCCCTGCCCCAAGCTTAGACTTTCAAATAATAGCTTCTATTATTCGTATGGTTTCAATACTGCTTCTGGATGCAGCACAAAATCCCTCCCTATTGTTAGGTGTCGTGAACAATCCCTAAGTATGTAGGTATTCTAAATTCCTACAATACTATTCAGCACTAAATTTCATTACTTAACACTTTCCCTATTGTTCAAGAGTCTCAATATAGCTCACAGTCTTATTCTATCTAATGGCAATAGCAAGCAACAAAACACCATTTTCCCTTTCTGAAGCTTAAAGAACAAACTCTAATGGAAACACCAGAAATGAAAAATAAGTCTTTACTGCTTTAATTTCACTCCAGTTTGTCAGGCAATAAACATATCAAAGAACAATTCAAGTGTGCATAAGTCCTTCTAAAAAAACAATAATTATCTGAATTTATGGCATTCTCAGATACATTTGCAATTTATTTGCAGCAACTGCAACTGAAAAAGTTAAATCTAAACCAAGTTGTTGCATTATTTTTATAGGATCCCCTGATGACTTGGATGAGGAGAGAAAAGAAAAAAATGCTGATCAAGTCAAGATAAGGCCAATGAACTTGTAATACAGAAACTCTCCTTCCAAAAATCTACTAATCAGCTACTTGACCCAATACAAGAAAAGCACAAATGATTTCAGAAACAGACATTTCTAATATAGCAGAGCAACTGTGCACTGCATTTGAAAAATCACTAGAGAGCACTAAAGAACAATTAATGGACATTCTTCAGTATTTGGAAGCTTTAATTATAGGATAAACTAAGAAGCTGCATTTTGCCAGTACAAAAAATACCACCTAGTCTGATTTAAAAAAAAAAAATCACTCCATTTTTATACTAGCTCTTAAATTAATTAGTGTTATATTCTTAAATTTCACCTGCTATCAACTATTTAATTTTTTCAGAGTACCATATTTTTACAAAGAAATGACATTGTGAAAACCTATGTATACTGCTCCAGATCACACTTACACCAACAAAAATGCTGCAGTTAAGGAATATAAATATGCAGTATCTTTTAAAATATTACTCAAATTTTTAAACCTCTTTTTGGGATGGAAGGAGGGGAAGATGGGAAGGTAATTTAAAGAAAAATCACCCAAAGCTTTCTCCGAATATCCCTTGCATTTCAGAAGAAAACCTTAAAACTTCCTTTTACAGTAATCTTAAAGGAAAGCTATGAAACTGTAAGTTCAGCAGCAACGCTATCAGCAGGACAGAATCACTTTGGCTTGTATGTCCACACCTCACCATAAGTTAAAAACAACTACAAAGATACATCCTACCTTCCAGCACACTAAAATTCATTCTCCAACTTATTATTCAATTTAGGTTTCAATCCTGCGTAGACCCTGCCTTAGAAACTGAGTGACATTATCCATATCAGATGATGGTGTGACATAGAATTCAGCAACAACATACTGAAAATGCAGTATAACATCCCTATACTTGCAGAACAGAAGGGTAACAAAATTAGAAGAGCTTCCCTTTATCAGCAATGATGAACAAAAGATTAATGCAATTTAGTGAATCAGTGAAGGAATGAATGGTCTGTTAATGGGAAAGGATTAAGAGGTCTCCAGCCTTTCTGGATTCATGAATCCATCAAATCAAAACCTTGTCTGTGGAGAAAAAAACAAACAAACAAACAAAACCCCCCCGACACACAACCACCACACATTGCTAGCTTTAAAGTAAGAAATAATCTCTAGTCTGCTCATACTACCATCCTAAAAGCTTAGTCAACTCATGGAGCACTTTGGCAGGGCATTCTGATTTTAATATTATTCCTGGGCTGATAAATCTCCTGGATATGTGTGTGTATGTATTTACATATAAACATGTCTAGCTTTCTCCTTACAACATTTACAAGTGTTAAGAAACTAACATTTATTTCTTGAAATAAAACATAGTATTCACTAGTATTTTGCCCACAAACAGGAGCTTCCTTAGTTAATTAATTTGACATGTAACTTGGTTATTTATTACCTGGTAATCTCGTCATCTCCAAGCACTCCCTTGGGAATTGGTGAGTATCGCCCTGGTGATGCTGGGGGCAGCGACTGTCCCAAGTAGGCAGACTGAGTGATATGGTTATCCACTGGCTGAGAATAAGCTTCAAAGAGGGGGAGGGGGGAAAAAAAGGCATTAAGGCAATAAAGAGAAAGAGCTGGGGGAACTGAAACAAAAGTATTACGAGTGACCTCTTCTAAAAACAAAACAGAACAGTTCAAGTGATACATTATAAATATCACAGTTCTAAAATACTACGTCACATCTACATATTCCCCAGTCTCCTCACACTAAGTCAGTACGAAAATTTTCCAGTTTGATTGTCACTTAAAAAAAACAATCCACCAAATTTTTTTTAGAAATAGACGCTGTGGATAGCTGAAGCCCATGAGGACAGTCTGGAGATTTACCTGGTTTTAAAGTTGTCTTTAATTGACCAAAGTCAATTAAGAATTTCAGTTTCTTAAAATCACAATGTCAGAGCACCAGTAAAAAATATGACAATTTAATGTTACACTTTTTCCAAACCGTCAAGCTGCCTGCCCCTGTCTTTTCTATACTTTGATGCAAAGCATCCAGGCATCTCCAGAATACTCCAGGCCATTCCGATTTACAGGTCTGAACAGGGAAGGGTGTTACCTTTCTCAGACATTGAACAAAACCACCTTTATTTAATAGCACAGGTGCTGGTAGTGATGCTAGCATGCGCTCAGCCAACAGCACACATCAGGAAACAATAGTAGGATTATTCCGCCTCCTGCTCTTCAAAGTAAGAGGCACCAATTTACCGAGAGGAATAAACAAGCTATTGCAAAAAATTTCAACTGTACTGCAAGGGTCAGTTGCCTTATTCACAGGTTCATTGATTAAAACTAGAAAGGAGTATTAAAAGGATTTAGTCTAACCTCTTGCATCATAGGCCATGAATCCTGAGTATAAAATGCGGATGTTTCACCTGAACCACAACACACATATTAGAAAAATTTAGCATCTTAATGATTTCAATTGATGGAAAAATATTCTACAATTCCAGGAGAGTTGTTCCAATACATAATTAAGAGAGTGCATTTTATTTCCAAGTTCGGCACATCAATTTTAAGTGCTCATTCACGAGGCACTGTCATACCCACTGGCTCCTATTACAAAGCTATTCTGCAATTGAAAATGTTTTCCCTGGTGCAGGTGCTTCAAGCTTTGATGCTTAAACACAGAGGGCGGGTACACTTCATAGATTCAACATTATTAAAGTTGTCAGACTCTCTTAGCTCTTATTCACTTGCTGTACGTGATGTGGTGTCTGACCTTTGAGGATTTACACTAAACCCAAAGCTTTCTAACTGAATAGACATGACACAGATTGCAGAAGCAACCTGCATATTGTCTCTTTTTGTTTTTTTCTTTTTAAATCATTGGCAGATGGATTATATACAAACTTCATCAAGAATATTTTTCTAGGATAGATTTGCTAAATAGCCAGCTTTCTAACCACCCAATCTGCACTGGATTGACTCTGTATTATTCTAGATTCCTAGTAAACCTGTGTGCAGTAAATTCTATACATGTAGTATGTATCCCATCAACATTGTCATATCCCGATCAATGGTCTAACAAAAGAGGTACCAAGCCAGACACGGAATACAGTACCCTAATGCCTGGCATATAACATCATATTTCATATCTGATTAGTCAGACTGCTTCTTATTCTTTAAAACTTTGTCACAGTATTACAGTTCTTCCAGTTTTCTAGAATGTGTTTCAGCAAGCATTAAAATCCACTATTAACAGCTGAGGAAGTTTAAAAGCACTAGCTGATAAAGTAACTGTGTTGTTCAGACACACCAGCCCTCAGGGAGTGCACACTCCAGACTGGGACTGTGCAGAACTTTTGGAAATTGCGACTCTGGATTCACAAGTGGTTTCAGCAAAATTCAGAATCTGAGTGCAAGAGGAAGCCTGTTCCCTTCTACAACAGAGACAAAACGAAGCTTCCTCAAGTTAGCTTCGTGAGGTCTACAGCAAAGACAACACTGCTTTTGCTAAAACCAAATGATCAACAAAGCATTCATTTGAGAACTCCCTAATAATTAGGAGTTGTTCAAGACACATGATTCCTAATACCATTTTTTAGAACAGCCATAACACATGTACATTGCACCTTCATCCTTCTGCTCCCTGCAAGGATTTGAAGAATATAGATCCCGCTACTTAATTCTTTCTGCCTGTCCTGGCACAGTATGTCGCTTCTATGCACTGGTAACAGATCTGGACAGTTTACTGTTAATTTCAAAACTTGGTTTTTTAGCAACACTGAAGTTTTGGCAACAGATTTTCATGATTACCACCAAACTATATTGCTATATTTACTTTTCAATGGAAAAAAATGTATGTATTTTAATACAACAGTATATTTCCATGTACATTATTTAAATCATGTGTTACTTTAAAAAATGACTACTGTACATGAATATAGTTCTTTTGGTTTCCCTCAAAATTTTACAGCTAGAGCACCAAAAAAAAATGGAATGCAGACTTTACAAGCTCTTTTCCAATCAGTGGAAAATGGGTTTTTATTAAAAAACCTAAACAACTGTAGCACAGTATAGCAGCTCTGTACATTCTGTTCATGCACTAAATCTTCTCATTTCACAAAACGAATTTACAATTGCTTTTAACAAGTCAGTGGCAGCTATCACGATGCATATTTTATAGAAATTAATTCCATTTTTTGTAAGAAATTCTACAATCATTGACTTATGGTACTTTTCATTTGATCGTTTTTATGGTTTCTAAAGCTTTTAATTGCATCACGTTCAGAAACATACAAACCATTTAACACTGGCACATATTCTTATTTTTTAAATTTTGTATCCTTTCACCATGTAACTAAAATTCAGCTATCAAGAAAGATATACAGTTTATTTTTTCAGACCTATGGGCTGTTCCATGTCAGGAACGTCTACATCATTTATAAAGTTCTACATATGCTACTTGCTTAGAAAAGTCAGGTCCTTTCTCAAGGCTGCTATTCTCAGCAGTATGGAAGCAAGCCTACAAGGCATAGAAAGGCTCTCTACGGAGTTCCTGCATAAAAACATGTTTTAGCTGGAGATTATACCTGAAGAATATTAATGAGGAACATGATAGAAATAAGAGGCAAGCCATCACTTTCTGAATCCTAATTCAGGTCTAAACTTCTGTTTCCAAGTAAATATTACTACTGATGTAACTGGTTAAGGAATTGTGTTTTGGATGAACTGAAAATTACATCCATAAAATAAACTTGCTTTGACAGGAAAAGTCAAAGGCTCTTAAGGAGAAATTCCATTTCCAAATCCACCCCCTTGACATAACAGAGTTCTACACAAAAAGGAAATTGAAGATTTCCTATTATTTCTCTGTTATCTGCAAACTGAGGACACCAATCACAAGTACAATCTCTAAAATGGGAAATAAAATTAAAACTTTATCATCATTTACTGTTATTACATATTCTTCTCTTCCTGTATTTATGTTATTCAAGGAACAATAAGGCATTTAGGTCTGTAGTGAGGAAACTGATTATTCCCTACCTTGCAGTACTTTATTTCTCAATGCAGAGTGGAAATACTGTACCAATGCGCGCGCGCACACACACACACACACACACACAGGAAAAATACTTTAAAACTGACTAGAAGTCATTAATGATGTCTTCAAAGGAGACCTGTGTAGGAAGCAAGTCCTCTGTCTCAAAAACCGTATAGACACTATTCCAACCCTGAAATTTTACAGTATGCACTACACAGATAATGTTGGATTTGTTGAATAGCAAGTTCTAGACCTTCTTGGTAATATTTCAACTGAATAACTTTAAAAGCATTTATACCAACAAGTTAATGTACATTTGTTCCAGGAACCATTTAATAACCAACATTTATATATAGATTACATTTCCTACTGGCATATGACCTACTAGAGAAGATTAATAGCTATGGTTATCAAACACACAAATCAGTTTAGCTGCTGTGTTGGGTTTGTGTCTGGCAGGGTTTTGGTAGCAGGGAGCAGGCTACAGAGGTGGCTCCTGTAAGAAGTCCCTGACCTTTGTCTTGAGCCTTTTGGTTGTATTTTCTCCTCCCTATCCATCAGGGGATGTGGTAGGGGTAAGTGAGCAGCTGTATGGTGCTGTGTTGCCACCTGGGTGGGCTCAAACCGTGACAGCTGCCAATGGTGCTAGCCGTCTGGGTGGCATCAGTCTGCAGGACCATCCCACCTACAGTGTTGTTGTTCCTCTGCATACAATGAACATAGGGGGGTTTTGTTGAATTTCCATGTTGCCTATACTGAAATGGAGAACAGTACTCAAATGACTGTGCTCAGAAAGAACAATCTTTCATAACTGCATTCTTCCTGAGTCAGAAAATGGAGATCACTATAAAGCAACTGTTTAAACTAGCAATCCACACCTCAAGGGTTAAAAGGAAAGTCTCACAGACACAACAGAAACAGGCACAGCAATCAACTATTCCAGATTGTCAAGGGCTGTGGTCAAGCTTTCATCACCCATACAGATACCAGTCTCTAGAGCTACAGCACATAACCATGAGCTATTTTTTCCATACTCATTCCCTGCTAAATGCTCTGGTGTCAGACAGTCCCAATTCTTCTTTAACAAGATTTTTCAACACTAACTTCCCCCACAGGCAGCTGGATGCTGTTCACTCACTCTGATAAATATCAAATGATGGAGGTCAATTTTCAGCCCCAGGTGCACAACGTTGGCAAGATCTGCACTCTTTGCAATAAATACTGACATAAATCATAATCTCGGAAATCCCTTGATCAAACATCCTTTGATTCAAAAGCACTAACCCCAAAGAAATATGAAGTATCAAATGATTTAATTATCTGTATGGATGCTAACTTACTCTGTCCCACCTCCAGACCTTTGCGCCTCCAGACCACCTGACAAGACCATACATTGTGTGGCTTGTTCTCTTACTACAGGAGTTGTAAAAGAAAATAGATTTTGCAGAAAACCTGCATACTGAAGTTTGTGAACTTGGTTCTCAAACAGTTCCTCAGTATCTTTAGCTCTGCATTTTAAATCCTCGTAAGCAGGGAAAGTGAGGCAGCCCTATAACTAAACTAGACCAGTTCCAGAGAGAAAGTCTTAGACAACCAAATTTTGAATTTGGTGTTTTGTGGACTTTCGAATGAACTACCATGTTCACAAAAGTTAGCATAGTGAGCAATCTACTGCATGTTCTGCAGACAGTACAGATACCAAATTGGTAAGTATTGTGCACTGTGCTTTTAGATGTTTCTGATAAAATCTGTGTTTAAAAAAACCTCATACAAATAAAAATAAAATAAAATAAAATAAAACAACAAAAAACTCACAAAAACCCCCAAGAGGAGTTCTGTGCAGTGAGCAGTCTATATACATATTCAGGTAGTAGACAGGATTTCTACCTTAACATCATTTGTAATAGACATTTCCATAGGCAGCCTTTATGAAGATTTAACAGATTCAGTAGTGAAAGGAATAGTATATATTACTTCTCCTTTATGATGGGCCTGAACTCCTAAGAACCTGGATAAGAGCATTCTGATGGACAGAAATATGAAGAAGGATTGCAAATATATGTCTCAAAACAGCTGCAGGTGAGTAGGTAAAGAAGGAAGACTGGTAACTGTTTCAATACTCACAACCCAGGTGAATCTAGAAAAAAAGTCTTAATATCTGTCATCTGGGAAAAGCTCTTTAGAAACCTTAACCTAAAGCTCCTGAGCCAAGTACTGCTCTGCTAAATGCAGCACCACTTTCAAAGGTCTCATCTGAGCCAAGAACGAAGGTGCAAACAAACTTTGAAATGATGGCCCTGAAAGCATCAGCTTCTAAAACACTATGTACAGGAGCCACCATTTTTTGGTATGAGTTCTATCTAATTGATCAGCTTCTTACAGAAAGTGGAGGCTTTTCAGTTGCAAAGTTATAGTACTCCTTTATAAAGAAGCAATAGCCTTCGAGGAGATTGGTATCTCCCTTCCAAATTTCCATTTTTAAATGTGAAAGTATTGAGGGATAGCGAAAAAGCTTTTTGTTCTGCCCTGTATTAGAAAAATAGCATCTAGCATCTTAGCCATATGTAATTGTTTCTTGTAAGTGAAAGATTTAGGAAAAGGCTAAACTGATTTCCTTGAACGAAGTCATTAAACACCTCAGGCAAGACCTCTGGATCTATTTTGTGTGCAAAATTCAGGCAGTAGATCCAGAGTCTCCATGTCAGCTGCAGTAACAGCCAGCAGCACTTTGATCAGAGAGAGACAAGCATATGAAGCTTTGGGTAGGAAAGGCTTTCCTGTTTGTAAGGAAAATAAACAGACTGAAGTTTCATCAAAGAACCCAGCACTTTGCAGCAGAACGTTCTTTGGTTAACCATTGACAGAAGTCTATCAGAAACACTATAAAAACCCAGAGTAACTTCAGACAGAGAACTGAAGGTTAAAACTGCAGCTAAATGAAAAGAAACTCAGAAAATCTACTCAAAAGCACTGTAGCCCACAAACCTTGTCAAAGGTCACCGAAGGACAGAACACAGACAGACACCTGGAATCTGAGAAATCTTGTGTGATTTTTTCAAACCGTTTCAGCAGAAGGAGCAGGTTCCCAGAAGCAGCTGCTGGAGCTTGAGAGGCATGAAAGCTCATGAGATTGGCTTTTCAGTTCTCAGTGGACAGAAGTGCCACTTCACACAAAGGACAGGACACTGGGCTTCACAGAATGCCACTGTTTCTCTCAAGTCCCACTTACAGGAAGAGCAGCCAAATGGAGAGAAACTTGGGATGGAGGACAGTAACGGGACAAAAGGGGGCCCACATATGCCGTCAGGTTATTTACCTACAGAAAACTGATGCGAGAAGAAGTCACATATACTGGGAAATCAAGGACTGAAGGCAAGATGGCAGTGCACATCCTCATGGCAATTGTCTGGGATTACCCTTAACAGAATTTTCCTGAAAAGCCACCAGACACAGTAAGAAGGTATTCTTGAAGATACCACTGTCTCTTTTACAGCTGTATGTTATGATGCAATTAACTTCAATGAACTAAGTCTCCAGCTCATCTACCATTTGAGAGAAACTGATTTGCTGCATGAGAAGAGGGCCAACAGCATGCCCTTATACACACTGCTACAGCAAATATTTCTTTAAAAGTACATATTGATACAGATAATGTGAATATAAGAACAAAATAATCACCGAAAGGAGAACACCAATTTGAGTCAAAGAGGAAATATGACTGCTGCTTTGAATAAGACTCTCGGCAGCTTGATCTCACCTACTTAAAACCGAACTACTGAACTACAGTACTGAGAATCAGCCACGCTGAGTTTGGTATCTCTGCTCTCAACTTTGAGTCTACAGACGGTCTTTTTAAGATCAAAGTATCATTTAATGAACAGTACCAAAGCACATAAATTAAAATTAGAATCTACATTTATATCCACCATTCCTTTATGGTTGCCTAGTAAAGCAGTAGGTTTGTCAAATCCTACTATAGGTTCTTTACTCCACTCACACAAACTGAACAGTTCCTGTTCAGTTTTCCTTCCAAGAGAGATAACCAGTCCTCTAAATTGCTATAGTGCTTTGTTCGTTTTCATTTAAGCCTTATTCCAAGTTGGTTTTTAATAATCAGGGGCACTGAGCAAGAGCTAATAAGTATGACTTTTGCCAATATCAGGGTATCATTGATTTATTAGGACCAGGCAAATTATCAGGCACCAGGTCCTTCTCTACCTTCCTCTCCCCAAACCTTCTTGAGGCTTTGCCTTTACACCCACAAAAGATTCATAAAGTAAATATCCCAAGGATCAAGTAATACAGTAGAAATAGATAAAATACTTCTATGTTTGACACATCACCATCCACAGCAGTGTAATCGCATCACTGCAATACTACCAGGCACGCTACGTACTCATCAGGTTACCTCTGTTCCAGAAAATCTGACTTCAAGGTGAAACATACAAAGAGGTCAGTTATGTTGGAAAAGAAGTCTGCCTTCCAAGTAAACAGAGGAAAAGGTTGAATTACTGGACAAACTAGATACCATAAGGGAAAATGGCTGCTCTCTAACCATATGTATGAATGTAAAATCAGGGATGAGTAAGTGAAGGCTGAAAATCAGTTTTACATCAAAGAATGGAGCCTTCAAGAGCATCCTTCTAATAAGACAGTGAAGACATAAAACCTAACTAGCTCCAAATTGTAATTCAATAAGCTTACAATTAGATTTAAAGACACTGTAGCTATTGCAAATAAATGACAGGCTTATAAGGTACTTCAGTCCTTTGTTGTGCTGCACTTCCATTTGTTGTTCTTCACATGTGGTTTTAGGTTACATCACTGGCTTTTTAGTCCAAAAGCGTTCCATTTTTCAGTGCTACGTATCAATTACTCATATCGAACAGCAGGAAACAAAAAATACCTAAAATAACCCTGCCCCAGAACCATTTTATGTGATAAGAGTAGTAAAACTGGTCATCCAGAAAAGTCCACCTATTCAGTCTTGGAAAGATGTAGTTATACCATTCTCATCTCTTTCTCCAAACACTAAATGGTAATATCCCTCTTGAAGAAACAGCACATTAAATTCAAATTTTTATTTACATTAGAGTTCAACCCTGAACTTTCTGGATTTGGCCGTGTGACTTCAAAAAAACCTCCTATAAGAAGCACTCTTATGTCAACAAGAAATTCTTATAACTATTTTCAAGATAGTGTTCACTGATTTTCCATTTGATTTATCAACAATTCTGTCAAAACTGAAGTAAGATTTCAAGTAAATTAACATGGAATTCTGCAACACACTGGCAGGCAGGCATCAGAGGTCAAGTCCAGTTTATTCAAATACGTGCAGGTGATGAAAAAGCAGGAACATAGAAAAAAATAATAAGAACATCACTAACCTCCACCTGAAACAATGTTGTCTTTTGCTCAGTTCACAGAATGTCTACACAGTGCTTTGTCTCTTACTCTTCACAGCCTCCATGAGAATGAGGCACATGTGCTCCTTGTACTCATCAGCAAGTGATCAGAAATCACATTGAGTCACTAGGACTAGGCCACATCAGTCACAGAAACACACCAAGAGCCCCATTGTTGCTGTGTTTTCAGTACACAAGCTACAGGATGTTATTCTGTTCAACATAGTAATTTTCCTGATTAACCAACTTTCTCACATCAGATTTTCGCACCGTGTAATTTTAAAAAGCTTGAAACTATTATAATACTAGGAGTGGGGCATGTTAAAGCCTTAAAGGAAAAAATAATTAAATCACAAAGATAAGCTGAACTTACAGTTTGTGATGTCAGGAGGGGCATAACTGTCATTCATGAACATGCTGGTGGGTTTTGCAACTTTCAGATAAACAAAGTCAGATGTGTTTTTTAAGGCAGTCACTGCTTCTTCATGAGTAACTTCTTCTAAACAAACACTGTTCACCTAAACAGAAAAAATAAACAAAATTCTCAACACAGAAAAATGTACCTTTTCATAGGACACTCACTGAAAGCTGTCGGACCACTCCAGCATTAAAAGTCTTTATCGGGATTCATGTGCCACAGACATAATTGCTTGTGTAAAAGTTATATAAGAGACGCTTTGTAGTGCTGTGAAATATAAGGCAGACAAGTCTGTCCTCAAAAGATTATAATGAACTGTACTTTTTTTTTCCCAACAGATTTAAATTCCTACCACTCCTGATGACTGGAAAGTCATTTTGCAGTGCATTGGTAATTGCAGTACAACCTAAACACACAGACAGAAAACTACCTTCTGCAAAATATAGGAGCTTATCTCTACATCAGTGACTAAAGCTTTGACTAAGTGAAATTCAGCAAATCAGAGGGTACTATAGATAATATTTTATTCATTTCTTTCCTAACAATGAACTAAGGGAATGATTACAGCTACAATAAATTAGGACATTACATTTACTACATCCAATAGAATATTGCACATGGTCCTTGCATCCTTGAAACACTATCCGATATTAATCCAAAGCCACTTTTTGTCATGCGAACTTTTTTAATGGATAAAGTGACACTGGACAAAGTAATCTCTTGCAAAAGTTTGATATTTCTGACAAAGATTCCTTAAAACCTTTCATATATTTTACAATATAAGCAAGTTAGCATGAAATTTTCTTGTACAGGTGACAAGTATAACACTGGAAAGCAGTTCACCATTAAAAGGAAGCTCTGCAGTGCCCTTGCACTATAGGGAAGCCCTATAATCAAAACACTTCCTATAATGCAGATTTTAAAACTTAAAACCATCAAATATTAACAGTATTATCATCAAGCAGCTGGATCTTTGGGCTTGTGAATTTGCATGAAATATGAAGGTGCATACTTTTTGTGCAGTTAATAGTAAATATAATACATTCCCTCTTTCTCTTTTTTACCCTCCAAATTCACATGTAAGGATTCATGTCTTGAACTGGTTTCACAGAGCTATCCATTGTAACATCAAGATCTCGTTCCCAATATCCTTTAGATAAAAGGATAATCCCAGGATTCTTCACCTTTAAGTCGCTTCAGTTTTCCCAACTCCGTATTTGTAAGTGACAAATTTATCCAAAGAGTCTTTTTACAGATGGGAAACTCTGCTCTAAAGATTTAGAGTCAGTTTCTTACTGTTTGAAGAGCAACAGAGCACTCGTTCTGCTGTCATGTACTCCGAGCTCTTACAGAAGCAGGTATTGCCTGGTAGAAGTAGGAAGTTTGGAGCAATTACAACCTACAAGAGTTGAGTTTACAATTCAGAAATTTATTCAGAAATTCCTGGCTCTAGCTCTCATCTTTTCTAGCTGGACAACTAGATTTGTGGATGGAATTTAAGGAAGTTGAAAGTTATTTTTACTTTGTGCATAGAAAATTCAACTTTGAAGCATTTTAAGCTTAAAAAAAAAAAAGAGCTATTCAAAAGTATTACAAACACTGAAATCCAACAGAAGCAGCAGTTTCAGTACAGGCTGGCCAGCCAGCAGTACATGATGGAGTTCCCTTCCACTCTTTTTTGAAAAAAGAAACAATCCCATTGTATGCTGGTTTACAAGCCACATCACTCAGATACCAGAAAAGTAATAGCAGGTGTCAGAATTAAACATGCTGATTAACACTGGTTTTGCATGAAACATTGGGCTGAAGAACAGATCTCAGATTTCCCAATGAGATGGTGTTGAACACTGTAGATTCAATTTTTATCACTGATTTCCTGGTAATATCAATTTTTTTATGCCAATTTCCATACAATAATGCTCCACTGACAGGCAGCTTAATCACAAAGCGAATCATGCCCTTACTGGGCCTAAAAGTGAATAACCATCAAAAAACGCAGCTCTTACTTACAGCTAAAAGTTTGTCTCCAATTTGAAGTTTGCCATCTTTATGTGCTGCCCCACCCTCAATGATTTTGGTAACATAGATGCTGTTGTCTCCAGGTATATGCTGATTTCCTACACCACCAGCAATACTGAAACCAAGACCTGCTTGAAGATAAAAGTCATTATTCAAGAAACCTTTCATCATTTATTAGATTCAAATTATTATATAAATAATAATGCCATTTGTATTACACATACATGTACATATATAAAAAACATTAGGCTACGGCTGAAGCAATACTGGCTGCCTTTCCAAGTGAACTCCATAATTTTCAAGAAACTTCTGGAAAAGATGTAACATTTATAGAAGTTCTGAAAAATCAAAAGCTAAATCATTTACTTCATGACTTGTGAAAGATGCACACAGCAGAGCTATAGCATCAGCACTGGTATTTAAAGAATCATCATCCCACCCGGACACAAAATAGTAATTTCTCTAAATGTTTTTTAATCTCTCAAAGATCCTTTCTAGGTCATTTAATGAAATATTTTACTCCAATTTTTTAAGGCACTTAAAAATTACTAAATACTATCAGAAACACATTTTTATTATTTGAAAGAAAAAAATGCATTCTACAAGAACAGTTTCATTATCTTATTTTTTATTATACTGCATTTCCCAGAAATTCATATGCAAAGTACTATTTTATTTTGAAAAATAAATGCAGAAATCTATCATCAACCCCATCGTTCTTGTGAAACAGAAGCTATCCTATGTACCTTTAGGGCCTTTTACAAGTTTGATTTCCACTATTTTTTCTGTGACTGGTTTTCTTCTTTTGACATACAATCGTACGATTGATCCCGCTTCTTTCAATGCTTCCACTGCTTTGCTGTGTGTCACATCACGAACATCCACCTCATTTACTCGTAGAATACAATCGTTAACCCTAGAGACAGCAACATTCATGTTCAGCTGTTGTGTTATAGCAGAGCAGACACATTGGGAGCCCAACACTTTATCTACAATACACTAACACACTTGTTAACATGTTAAGATACATAGATTTTGCTTCCAAATTATATTGATTCAAGACAACATTCTAAAGCAAATTATTAGTGCTTAAAAATATTCCCATTAAAAGTTTTCTAGTGATCCTTATTTTATTTCTTTCTCAGCCAAAGGGGACACCATCTTATACGTGTTTCATTTAAACAGTATTTTGAACAGAGCTTCATACAAACTACCTTTTGTTTAGGGCTGTAAGAAAGAATTAAAAAATTCAGAAGCTTGGAGGCACACAATGAGAACACACAGGTTT